ATTCCCTGTAACAGCAGAACACAACACTATGGAAAGTATAAGTATTGCCGTTCCTAATTGTGTGTTGCGTGCCATATAGTGAAGCACATGAAAAGCATGCTTCTTCACAGTCACTTAACGTGTTCGTTTTGCGGTTACGTGAGGCACTGCATGCATTGGTCTTTATTCTTACAGTAGAGAAGTCATTAATTATAACTTTTTGTGAATTGGGACATTTAAACTTGCTTTTTTTTTAATTCCAATCGAAATTTAGTAGGAGTCGGAGTCGGTGCATTGTTTGCCGACTCTGACTCCAGGTACCCAAAATTTCCTCCAACTCCTCAACTCCGACTCCGACTCCACAGCCCTGGTTGCCATGCCCGCCCTGCCCAGATGCGTTTTTTTTTTAACCATACTAACCTGCCTTTTAGCCTCATTGTGTTTCTCCTTTCGCTTCTCAGCCTTCGCCGTGTGTTTGTGAGACAAAAAAAAAAAGTTCAGTCAGACTTTCTAACTTCTCGCGAGATCTGAAGAACTTAGAAAGTCTGATTGAACTTTTTTTTTTTTGGTCCCACAAACACGTGGCAAAGGCTGAGAAGCGAATGGAAAAATGCAGTGCAGCTGAAAGGCAGGTTAGTAAAAAAAAAAATGCTTGGGGGAGTCGAGGGCATCTGAGTGTGGGTGGCCACGGCAACCTTAACCCTGCGCGGCTTCGGCAGGTGTCTGGCAGGCAAAGGGAAGCAACTCCACCACCCCATGGCAACCTTACCCTGCGTGGCTTCGGCAGGTGTCTGGCAGGTGGAGGGAAGCAACTCCACCCCTCTGCCACCTGCCTTGCCTCCTCACCTCATGGCGGTGGCGGTGGCAGCAGCTGGCCGGGTGGAGACGATCCGGCGGGAGCAGCCGGTAGAGGCCAAAAGCACCCAGCTGGCATGAGCGATGCAGTGCCTGCCAGGGCCAGAAGAGTGTCAGGTTCAGCCCTTAGCCCGGCGCCTGCAACACCGAGTAGGCGTGCAGGCTGGTGCTCAAGCAGCCCAAAGGCAGAGGCGTGGCTGGTGCAGGTCCACCGGCGGCCACTGGCGAAGGGCCCTGGTGGCGGGGCGGCACTCCGGATCTGGGCCGACTCACCCCACACCAGGCAGAAACAGTCCAGCAGGGTAGCCCAGAGTAGCGGGGCCAGGAGGGCAAAGAGCCCTGCAAGGCAGAAGCAGCACGGGCAGCCACATGGCTGCCACATGGCACCTGATGCGGCCAAGAAATGTCCCAGCAGCAGTAGGGCCAGCTTGACTCCTCCTCCTCCTCCTCCTCCTCCTCCTCCTCCTCTTTCTGCCACCTTCTCCTCCACTTCGCAAACCCCACTCCCTTCTAATGCTGATGACGTTTCTTAGTTTGGTAAGGAAACGTCTGCAGGGAAACAATCCAGCTCAGTTGCACCAAGGACCCCACAGTGTAACTCTGCATTGCATCAAAGCATTTGGGTTCTTTTTTTTTTGCCCTTTCTCTCTTTTCGTCTTATGTTTTTTTCCCCATAACTGATCCCAGCAAAAGGGTGATGTTGGTGGTTTGACTAATCATGAATATCTCAAAGTAAAACAAGTATTTTCTCTCACTTCCTTCACAGTCCTGACAGTGATAAATTGGGTCACTCGTGTGTCTGATCTAATTTTGCAACCTTTTTTTTTTTTTTTTTGCCTTGGTCCTTAAGTTGTCATAAATGCATGCTGTCAGCCAAACACCCGAATTTTGATCACGTGACCCTGGGGAAGTTGCAACGTTTCTAAGAATGAGTATTGGGTGTAAGTCACTTTTTTTTTAAGTGCTGTTGTAACTTTGAATGGTTACTAAAATCAATAATTGTATGTCGAAGACTACCAGTATAGATAATCCTCCACTTGCAACAGTTCATTTAGTGACGGAAGTTACAATGGCACTGAAAAAAATGACTTATGGCTGTTTTTCACACTTAACGACTGTTGCAGCATCCCCACGGTCATGTGATCAAAATTCGGACACTGTCTCATATTTATGATGGGTTGCCGTGACCCGGGGTCACGTAATCCCCTTTCGCGACCTTATGACAAGCAAAGTCAAGGGGGAAGGCAGATTTACTTAACAGTTGTGTTGCTGACTTATCTATCTGCAGTGATTCATTTTACAACGGTGGCAAGGAAGGTTGTAAAATTGGGGCAAGACTCACCTAACAAATGTTTCACTTAGCAACAGAAATGTTGGGCTCAGTTGTGGTTATAAGTCAGTGATGGCGAACCTTTTAGAGACCGAGTGCCCAAACTGCAACCCAAAACCCACTTATGCATCGGCGAGTGCCGGGTAGGTGTGGCCCATTGGCTGGGTGTGGCCCATTGGGTGGGCGTGGCCCATTGGGTGGGCGTGGCTGCAGTGGTAACGGCAGACTGGGTGGGACTAAAAAGTTCAATCAATTCCAACTTTGCAAGATCTTTTTTTTTCCCCGCGAGAAGTTGAAATTGACTGATTGAACCTTTCTTTTTTTTTGCACACGGCGGCGGAGGCCTAAAGCGAAAAGTTTTCATAAAACCCAGCTGAAGGGCTAGGACTGGGGCGACGGCGCGCGTGCCCACAGAGAGGGCTCTGAGTGCCACCTCTGGCACCCGTGCCATAGGTTCGCCACCACTGGTATAAGTCAAGGACTACCTGTATGAAGATAAATATTCTGTGGACAATTTACAACGAGAATGTTTGGAAACCTTGCTGAGTTTTTTTTTTCTTATCTGTTTGGTGTTTTTTTCTTTCTTTCCGTACTTATCTTTTATTTTTCTTTTCTTCACAGCCGGAAAGAAAAAGCAATTTGGAACCTGGAGTATGCTTCGAAACTTGCCCAGAGGATAGCACTGGGTCATCCCATTCCAACCCAAAGTAGGTACCGGTAGTCAACTTACGACCACAATTGAGCCCAAAACTTCTGTCGTTAAGCAAGGCAGTTGTTTAAATCAGTTTGGCCCCATTTTGTGACTTTTCTTGCCACCATTGCAAAGTGAATTGCTGCAATTGTTAAGTGAATTGTGTGGTTGTTATATGCAAATCTGGCTTCCATTGATTTTGTTTACTGGAAACCGGCTGGGAAATTTACAAGTGATGATCACATGACCCTCAGGACAGTGCAACTGTCATAAGTACATGCCAGTTGCCAAGCATCTGAATTTTGATCATGTGACCGTGGGAACGCTGCAACTGTTGTGTGAAAAACAGGCATCAGTCCCTTTTTTTTCAGTGCCGCTGTAACTTCAAATGGCCACTAAACGAATGATTGAGATCAAGGACTACCTGTAGAAAGGAATTGCATAGCCTAGCACTGAGAATAGCACAGGCAGTCCTCAACTTATGACCAGCTGCTCAGCAACCATTTGGAGTTACGATTCAGCTCCTGAGAACGTAATTACAACACGGTTCGGAGGTTCTGGTAGCCACCTCACCCTCCTGGTGGTCACATGACCGAAATTCTGTCTTTTGGCAACTGGCCCGCAACGATGGTCATTTGTAGCATCTTGTAGTCCTTGCCTTGTGATTTAGTATTGTTTTTGTAGAAAACTTCCTTTACTTGGCAAAAAAGAAGTAAATAATGGGTTCGCGTAACAACCATGGTGATTTGCTTAATGACTGCTGCAACCAGGATTGTAAAATTGAGTCTGATCATGTGAGGACCTGCTTTATGGCTGTCTTGACCTACGACTAATGATTAGGCTCCATTGCGGTCATACACTGAGGATTACCTGTCATAATAGAGCCGTCTGCAGAATGGAAGACTTTTGTCCAAAGGATGCATGCATTGTGCAGGTGCTGCCTCCTCCTCTTCCTCCTCCTCTTCCTCCTCCTCCTCCTCCTCCTCTCCATACATCCTACTCCCTTATAACACTGGTGATGTTAAATGTGGTAACGTGGTATATGCAGCACAGTGCAGGGAGCCATGTGCAGATCTGTACATTGGGGAAACAAAACAACAACTTCATAAATGTATGGCACAACATAGGAGAACAAACCCATCCGGGCAAGATTCAGCAGTCCATCTGCATTTAAAAGAAAAAAGCCACTCTTTTGAAGACAGCAAAGTCCACATTTTGGACGGAGAGGACCGCTGGTTTGAAAGAGGGGTCAAATTGGCCATCCAGGTCAAAATTGAACAGCCCTCTTTTAACAGGGAGGGATACAAAACCATCTATTTCCAGTCTACAACACAGTCCTTTCAGCGGTTCCAAGAAGGCTCCACATCCATTTGCACTATTCAGGTAATCCTGAGGACACAGGTAAACCTCCAAGTGGTCTCAAGGACTCTCTAAAAAAAGGCAAATGACCAGCTGTCTGCAAGGAGTATAAATCCTTTCATTCCCCATCATCCAGTCAGAGCTGAAGAAGCTTCTTGGATGAGAAGCGAAACGTCTTCAAAGGAAAAAGAAGAAAGTCCAGTTGCCTCATGGAAAAGCACCTTTGAGATACTGATGATGTTACCTGGTTGGGTCATGAAACGTCTGTAAGAAAACAAACAAGCTCAGAGAGCAGCAAGGACCCCTCATGTCAACCCTGAGCTACAAATATTCTCCTTTATTAGACCGAAAGGCTAAATCCAGGATAAATATCTGGCTGACTATGTGACAAATGAACAATAATATAATATATTAAATGTATATATTACTGGCAATCTGTGAAAAGCTGGCATTGTATAGAATGCCCAGGAAACCTATAGAATGTGTGACTCTTTAGGCAAAGTATGAAATATATGTGTTATTTCAATATGCTATATACTTTCCCTAGGGCATTGTATATAATACCTAGACTGTCAGGGAATTGTGCAGCAGGTGTCCAAATGTAAGCAGAGACTCTGACATGAACGTATAATTTTATATAAATGAATATAATCTACAACTATATGTACAGCAAACTAGCTATCAGGCACATCACTACATCATGAGGTAAATACATAGAGCGCTCAGCTGGCACACAGAAGAAAAAAGGTGGGAAAAAAGGGAAACTCCCTCTCCACGCCCACAGCAACCAATCACAGCGCAGATTGCCTTACGCAGGAGCCCGCCCTCTCCAACCAATTGGCTATAACTGTGTGTTCTGGCCTCACTGCACAACCCCACTGCTCCAGCTGCTAAATTTAAATATAACATAGACATTATGCAGAATGGCAAGAACTGTTAGGCAAAGCCTGAAAAGGATGAGGGGCTAAGGTTATGGTTAGGGTTAGGGTTAGAGTGAGGGTTAAGATATGAGTTAGGGTTAGGGTTGGAGTGGGGGGTTAATGATCATGGTTAGGGTTAGAATGAGGGTTTAGAGTGAGGGTTAGGGTCACGGTTAGGATAGGGTTAGAGTGAGGGTTAAGATATGAGTGAGGGTTAGGGTTGGAGTGGGAGTTAATGATCATGGTTAGGGTTAGAATGAGGGTTTAGAGTGAGGGTTAGGGTAACGGTTAGAGTTAGAGTGAGGGTTAAGGTAAGCATGAGGGTTAGGATTAAGGTTTAGAGTGAAGGTCAGAGTCACGGTTAGGGTTAGAGTGATGGTTAAGTTAAGAGTGAGGGTTGGGATTAGGGGTTAGAGTGAGAGTTAGGGTCACAGTTAGGGTTAGAATGGGGGTTAAGGTAAGTGAGGGTTAGGATTAGGGGTTACAGTGAGAGGGTCATGGTTAAGGTTAAAGTGAGGGTTAAGGTAAGAGTGAGGGTTAGGGTTTAGAGTGAGGGTTAACGATCATGGTTAGGGTTAGAGTGAGGGTTAGGGTCACGGTTAGGGTTAGAGTGAGGGTTAACGTAAGAGTGAGGGTTAGGATTAGGGTTTAGAATGGGGGTTAGGGTCACGGTTAGGGTTAGAGTGAGGGTTAAGTTAAGAATGAGGGTTGGGATTAGGGGTTAGAGTGAGGGTCATGGTTAGGGTTCGAGTTAGGGTTAGGGTTAGGGTTAGGGTTTAGATGATGGTTAGGGTCACGGTGAGAGTTAGAGTGAGGGTTAGATTTAGAATGAGGGTTAGGGTTACGATTGGAGTTAGGGTTAGGGTTAGAGTGAGGGTTAGGGTTAGGGTTAACCCTAACCCTTCATTGAAAAGATGAGGGAAGAAATGCAAAATAAAGTACAGGACTTTCTTACTGAAAAGAAAACTCAAGTATTGACCTACTTATTGCAACCAGGAAGGCTAGGATTAGGGTTTATAGTTTAGGGTTAGGATTTATACTTTGCCAGTTTGCTTTTTGGCATTACATAGGAGCCTAGCAAATGTGTGAAATATTAAATGTTTCATACTTTGACGTGTCATTTTGGGCATTCTGTAGGTTTTGTAGGCATCTTATGGAATTCCTAATTTCACATACTGATGGTAACATACAGTATATACCACCTGATTCCCAGTGAATAATGAGTTTGCCTGTATCTTTGTATCTTTCAACAGTGTTTTCTCTTGTTACTTGCAGGAGCAAAACCTTCCAATATCTTGAAGAGATGGAATTTTGACATCCCGGGCAGTAGCCGGAAACTCAATCCAAGTCAACAGAGTGCCATCCGGGAGGCACTGGAAAAGTCTTTCACTCTAATCCAAGGGCCGCCAGGTGAGGGATCGACCCCCTTTTTACAACCCTGTAATCCCTTATTTTGGGGTAGAGTTGGGGCGACTGGATGGAGTTGAGCATTTACTGGCCGGATGCCCTTCCTGATGCCACGTGGAGTTAATAATAATAATAATAATAATAATAGTAGTAGTAGTAGTAGTAGTAGTAATAATAATAATAATAATAATAAAATTTGGAAGGGACTTTGGAGGTTATCTAGTCCAACCCCCTGCTCAGGCAGGAAACCCTACACCATTTCGGACAAATGGCTGTCCAGTCTCTTCTTAAAAACTTCCAGTGTTGGAGCATTCACCACTTCTGGAGGCAGGTTGTTCCACTGGTTAATTGTTCTCACTGTCAGGAAGTTTCTCCTTAGTTCCAGGTTGCTTCTCTCCTTGGTTAGTTTCCATCCATTGCTTCTCGTCCTGCCTTCAGGCGCTTTGGAGATTAGCTTGACTCCTTCTTCTTTGGGGCAGCCCCTGAGATACTGGAAGACTGCTATCATGTCCCCCCTGGTCCTTCTCTTCATTAAACTAGACATACTCAATTCCAGCAACTGTTCCTTATATATTTTAGCCTCTTCTCTGTACTCTGACACCTTGCTAGGCGACTGGTGGTCCTCGGATATTGCCATATCCTAAAAGTGGTACAGTGGGTGAAAAGGCTCAGGCTTGTGCGGTGCTGCCACCGGTTCAGCTCATTCCCCTCCCCCGCTACCACTTTTTTAGGATGGTTGCGTACCACCTGCCAGGTGCCAATGTACCACAGGTGGTACCCGTACCACTGGTTGAAAAGCCCTGCTCTAGGGAACTAGCTATGGTTCATTTGACCCTTCCTCAATAAAGTAGCGTTCTAATCATTCTGTGGAATGAGACTATTGATCTGATCTACTTTGTCAGGCTGACAACTTCCTCTTTGTTTTTGTATTTGTTCAGGCACCGGGAAAACCGTGGTTGGTGCTCACATTGTGTACTGGTTTCACCAGCTCAATCACGAGAAGAATGGAAACCCAACTCAACCTGGGGCGATGCCTCCAAAGCCAGCCAAGAGTGATGCCTCCAGAGCCAAGAGCCACATTCTGTACTGTGGACCTTCTCACAAATCGGTTGATGTTGTTGCTGGTAATCCATTTTCTCCATGGAAAAAATATTCTTGTTTTGGGCAGAATAGTTGAAACTGAAATCGACCTGATTTTGCTATGGTGTAGAGTTGCTATGGTGTATTTTGCTATGGTGTAGAGTTGCTATGGTGTATTTTGCTATGGTGTAGAGTTGCTATGGTGTATTTTGCTATGGTGTAGAGTTGCTATGGTGTATTTTGCTATGGTGTAGAGTTGCTATGGTGTATTTTGCTATGGTGTAGAGTTGCTATGGTGTATTTTGCTATGGTGTAGAGTTGATTGGCATGCAGCTAAGCTGAGCTCCTGTTCTCCATAGAATAGAGTAGAGCGGAGCGGAGCAGAGCAGAATAGAATAGAATAGAATAGAATAGAATAGAATAGAATAGAATAGAATAGAATAGAATAGAATAGGATTAGAACAGAACAGGAATAGAGTAGAGTAGAGTAGAGTAGAGTAGAGTAGAGTAGAGTAGAGTAGAGTAGAATAGGATTAAAACAGAACAGGAATAGGAATAGGAATAGGAATAGAATAGAATAGAATAGAATAGAATAGAATTACAGAATAGAGTAGCATAGAGCAGAGCAAGTAGAGTAGAATAGAATAGAATAGAGGAGAGTACAGTACAGTACAGTAGAATAGAATAACAGAGTTGGAAGGGATCTTGGAGGTCTTCTAGTCCAACCCAGTGCTCAGACAGGAAACCCTATACCCGTGATGGCGAATCTATGGCAGGGGTGCCACAGGTGGCACTCAGAGCCCTCTCTGTGGGCACGCGTGCCGTCACCCAGTCCTAGGCCTTCAGCTGGGTTTTATAAAACCTTTTCGCTCTAGGCCTCTGCCGCCGTGTGCAAAAAAAAAAAAAGGTTCAATCAATCAGTCAATTTCAATTTCTCGCGGGGAAAAAAAGATCTCGCAAAGATGGAATTGATTGAACTTTTTAGTCCCACCCAGTCTGCCGTTACCACTGCAGCCACGCCCACCCACTGGGCCATGCCCACTCACTGGGCCACGCCGATACATGGGTTTTGGGTTGCAGTTTGGGCACTCGGTCTCTAAAAGGTTCGCCATCACTGGCCTATACCATTTCAGACAAATGGTTGTCCAATCTCTTCTTAAAAACTTCCAATCCAGCCTCTGACGTCCTTAACTGCATAACAAAGTTCTTCTCCTATTTCATGTAAAATTGTTCCTTCTGCATAATGAGGTGCCAAAATTGGACAATTCTCTTGGTCAGATCATAAAACATAGAATAGGGCTGGAAGGGACCTTGGAGGTCTTCTAGTTCAACCCCCTGCTCAGGGCGGGAATTCCTATTAGATTCCGGTCAAATGGCTGTCCAGTCTCTTCATGTAAATCACCAGTGATGGACCCCCCCCCACAACTTCCAGAGGCATCTTAAAATACAGGTAGCCCTTGATGTACGGCCACAATTGAGCCCAACATTTCTGCTGCTAAGCAAGGTAGTTGTTCAGGAAGTTTTGCCCCCATTTTACAACCTTTCTTGTCACAGTTGTTAAGTGAATCACCGCAGTGGTTAAGTTTGTAACATGGTTGTTAAGTTAAATCTGGCTTTCCCATTGATACTGTGTCAAGGTTCCGACTAATGGAACACTTCAAAGAACTTCCAGGCACTGTTTATTCTAAAAAGTCTTTAATCCTATGAACACAGTGTCCGGCACAGCATGAATGGATGCCAAGATCTGAATTTCCCTTTCTTTGCACATAACATTCCAGGCTATTCCCCTCCCCTATTTTGCAGTCATAATTCACATTTTCCAATCAGCCTGGAGGGCAAAGATTCACTTCGTTCCCTATCCAGCAGTCCTTATCTTTCTCCTGCCCTCCCACCATCATCTGAATTAACTCTAAAAATACCAGACAGTTCTGCATATCTTGTCAAAGCAATAATATCCAATATTAGCAGCCTTGACCTACTGCTTGTCAGAAGGTTGCAAAAGGGGATCATGTGACCCCGGGACACTGCAACGGTCAGAAATATGAGTCAATTTCCAAGAGTCTGAATTTGTATTCTGTGACCATGGGGATGCTGGAACAATTATTAGTGTGAAAAACGGTCATAATTCACTTTTTTTCAGTGCCCTTATAACTTCAAATGATCACTGAACAGGTATTGTAAGTAAATAAAATAAATGATAAATAAATAAAACTATCCATCATTGTTTCATGGTTCGTTCCAGTTAACCCAGTGGTTCTCAACCTGTGGGTCAGGACCCCATTTGGGGTCAATCGACCATTTCATGGGGGTCGCCAAGCAAGGCTGTCCGCCATTTTTTTTGTCCGCCATTTTTTCCCCCTTTTCCGGCGGGTGCCTTACCTCCCTTGGGCTGGGCCAGCTGGTGGTCGGCCTGCTCCGTCTCTGCCGCTTGCCAGCTACGCCTCGGCCGGCGCAGGGGGCGGAACCACGCATGTGCGGCGCTCCCGGGCAGGAAAAGTCCTCGACTTACGACCGGTTGGGTAGTTCTCGACTTACGACCAGTTTAGTCCTTGACTTACGACCGGTTTAGTCCTCAACTTACGACCGGTTTAGTCCTCGACTTACGACCGGTTGGGGTCGCGGCATTAAAAAGGTTGAGAACCACTGAGTTAACCAAAAAGGCTGCAGCTTGCAAGACCCAGGCAGGAGAAATTATACTCAAGCCAACAATGTTGGTTTCTTTTTTTCAGAGATGCTCATGAGGATGCCTGGTTCCTTCAGGCCTCTGAGGGTCTACGGAGATACGATTGAGACAATGGATTTTCCTTATCCTGGCAGCAACCTCCAAATTTCTCGAAAAGCTCAGCGGAACGCAAAATCGAAACCAGAGATCAGGTTTGAATTTGGGGTTGGGTTTGTCTTCTAAAATGGGGTTCGGTTAATGTTGCTAGTAGTACATTGGCTCACTTTAAGGCCTGTCCAACCGTGGCAACTTTTAAGACCTGTGGACTTCAACTCCCAGAATTCCCCAGCCAACCATTCTCCCTCCCTCCCTCCCTCCCTCCCTCCCTCATAGAATAGAATAGAATAGAATAGAAATTATGGAATGGAATGGAATAAAATAGAATATAGAATAGAATAGAATAGAATAGAATAGAATAATAGAATAGAAAATATGGAATGGAATAGAATAGAATAGAATTAGAATTAGAATAGAATAGAAATACAGAATGGAATGGAATGGAATGGAATAGAATAGAATAGAATAGAAAATATGGAATGGAGTGGAATAAAATAGAATGGAATGGAATAGAACAGAACAGAACAGAACAGAATAGAATAGAATAGAATAGAAATACAGAATAGAATAGAAATACAGAATAGAATAGAAAAGAAAATATGGAATAGAATGGAATAAAATAGAATGGAATGGAATAGAATAGAATAGAATAGAATAGAACAGAATAGAAAATATGGAATGGAATAGAATAGAATAGAATTAGAATTAGAATAGAATAGAAATACAGAATGGAATGGAATGGAATGGAATAGAATAGAATAGAAAATATGGAATGGAATGGAATAAAATAGAATGGAATGGAATAGAATAGAATAGAACAGAACAGAACAGAATAGAATAGAAATACAGAATAGAATAGAAATACAGAATAGAATAGAATAGAAAAGAAAATATGGAATAGAATGGAATAAAATAGAATGGAATGGAATGGAATAGAATAGAATAGAACCGAATAGAAAATAGAATAGAATAGAATAGAATAGAAATACAGAATAGAATAGAAAATAGAATAGAATAGAAAATAGAATAGAATAGAATAGAAATACAGAATAGAATAGAATAGAATAGAAATACAGAATAGAATAGAATAGAATAGAATAGAGTTGGAAGGGACCTTGGAGGTCTTCTACTCCAGCCCCCTGCTCAAGCAGGAGACTGTATACCATTTCAGACAGGTGGCTGTCCAGTCTCTTCTTAAAAATCTCCAGTGATGGAGCACCCACAACTTCTGGAGGCAAGTTGTTCGTTCACTGGTTAATTTTTTTCTCTGTTAGGAAGTTTCTCCTTAGTTCCAGGTTGCTTCTCTCCTTGATTAGTTTCCATCCGTTGTTTCTTGTCCTGCCCTCTGGTCCTTTGGAGAATAAGTTGACTCCCACTTCTTTGTGGCAGCCCCTCAAATACTGGAATACTGCGATTATGTCTCCCCTAATCCTTCTTTTCTCCTTCCATATGTTTTAGTCTCCAGGTCTTTGATCATCTTAGTTGCTCTTCTCTGCATTTTTTCCACTACATAGTCGAAACCAAAAACTAAATTCCCCTCCCCTGGATACAAAGTAACAAAGTACAATTCCCTCCTCTAATAAATAGTCATAAATCACATTCCCCAATTAGCTTGAAGCTCGGGCTTTCTCCCCAGCTCTCCAGCCTGGCAAAACACTATCAGCTCTGGGCCCAATGACCTTGGGTTCCCAGGGCTGAGTTATTATTGTTATGACTAGTTCAGGGGTAGGCAACCTTGGCTCTTTTATGACTCGTGGACTTCAACTCCCAGAATTCCTGAGCCAGCATGGCTCAGCTTGGAAACCTCTCCCTTTCCCCTCAGCATGGCTGGCTCAGGAATTCTGGGAGTTGAAGTCCACAAGTCATAAAAGAGCCAAGGTTGCCTAACTCTGGACTAGCTGGACTCCCATCCCTATTCCCCTTCCCTGCATCAACTAATTCTAAAAGCAATGGAGAAAATGGCTGCATTTCCATCTGTTGTCAAAGCAAGAACATCCGATGTTAGCAGCGTTGACAGCATGCCCCCCCCCCAAAAAAACCCCAGTCCTCAAACAAGCGACCTGGCTTGAGGCCCCTCATTCCCATCCTTAGCTAAATCTGGGCCTGATCCACCAGTGAAAGCACTCTGGGAGTATCGCTGGCTCAGGAATTCTGGGAGTTGAAGTCCACAAGTCATAAAAGGGCCATGGTTCCCCACCTCTATCCTGAGGGGTAGCACTTCATGCATGTGTGTAAATATTTTGGCTTCTTGTTTAAACTAATCCTTTCTGCACAGGCGTATCACTTTGCACTATCTGATCCGGGAAAAAAGCAATCCTGACTCGGGAAGGATCCTCGAGTTTGATGAACGAGTGAAACGTGGAGAAGAGATCACCGAAGATGAAATTGAAGGGTGAGGACAATCAGACGGAGAGGGTTGCCGAGGCCTGATGTGAAGATCCCTCAATTTTCCCAAGAGTTTCCTGATCATCCTAGGAGAGCCAGCCTGGTTAAGATGTAGGCCTACAAACCAGGAGACAGGGAGTTCTAGTTACATCTTGGGCATGAAAAGCGGGTTGGGCCCAATCACCAGGAGATGTAAGTTCTAGTCCTGCCTTTTGCCTGGAAGCCAGCTGGGTGACTTTGGGCCAGTCACCAGGAGACTATGAGTTCTAGTTCCACCTTAGGCGCGAAAGCCTCCTGGATGACTTTGGATCAATCACCAGGAGACTGGGAGTTCTAGTCCCACCTTGGGTATGAAAGCCAGTTGGGTTGTGGTACTGTCCTAGACATGAAAGCCACTTGTGCCAATCACCAAGAAATTGTGAGTTCTAGTTCCACCTTAGGCGCGAAAGCCACCCGGGTGACTTTGGATCAATCACCAGGAGACTGGGAGTTCTAGTCTCATCTTAGGCGTGAAAGCTGGCTTTTGGGCCAGTTACTATCACAGCCGAACTCCTCACACAGGACTACTGTTGTGGGGAAAATAGGAAGAAGGAATATTAGGTATGTTTGGCTTGAGTTATTTAGAAAAATAAGGAAGTTTGTGTCTGTGTGTGTGTCAGCTGGGATGCAGCACAAGAATCCTGGCTTCTCACTGTGTGAATAAGACAGGGAAACCTAGTTTCTACTCCTCCCTCAACAAAAGGAACTCCCTGAGTGAATCCCCCCACTTTTGAACCCATCCTACCTTGCAGGATTGTTGTTAGGAGCAAAACAGGAGGCGAGAACCCCACATAACGCCTTCTGAGTGAAAGGAGAGCTATACATCCAATGCAGGTGGTCCTCGACTTATGACCATAATTGAGCCCAAAATTTGCATTGCTAAGTAAGGCATTTGTTAAGTGAATCACCCTCTCCCCCATTTTATGACTCTTTTGCCAGAGTTACGCAAGTCAGTTTATTTATTTAAAAAAATTGTGTTGTCGCCTATTTGCACGTGGTGACTCAAGGCGGCTTACACAGATATAAAAACACTCTATAATAAACAGAAAAATAATAACCCCCCCATCCCCCCACCCCGGCGACAACCATTGTTAAGTGACTCTGTTTTCCTCCATTGACTTTGCGTGTCACAAGCTCCCTAGCCAGGCTGCAAATGACAGTCCCCCTATTTACGACGGCTGCAGCGTCTCGGGGTCACATGACCACCCTTTACACCCTTCCCAGCTGGCTTCCGGCCACCAAAATCAATGGCGTTAGCCAGATTCACTTAACAACCGCAGTGATTCACTTAACCGCCAGGCCAAATAAAGTCATAAAATCAGACACAATTCATTTCATTCCTTTAGCTGTAGGTCAGCGGCTACCCGTCACTAAACAGGAATAAACCACAGCACATCACCCTTCTTAGTCCTGTCTTAGCCTGGCCTTGAATAATGGGGAAGGTTAGATTTAAGTCCCCCTTTCTCAGAGCCTCGCTTTAATTTTACATCAAGTTTCTAGCCCTGCGTGAAGCCGGTTGGAAGTGTGCGAGAAAACCTCGGAGGATCCACTTTAAAAAAAACAAGGGTTTTCTTTTGTGGGCTGACAGGTACAAACGGCTATTGAACAGGGCGCGGGTATTTGAATTGGAACGCCACGACATCATTCTCTGCACGTGCTCCGCCTCTTCGTCCAACTTCCTCGCCGAGCAGCTCAACGTCAAGCAGGTGCTGATCGACGAGTGCGCCATGTGCACGGAGCCCGAAACGCTCATCCCGTTGGTCAGATACAAGAAGATCGAGAAGGTGAGCCCGTGGGGTGGGCCTCCAAAGAACAGGTAGTCCGCAATTGTGACCGCAATGGAGCAACGGGTGGAAGCTAACCAAGGAGAGAAGCAACCTAGAACTAAGGAGAAACTTCCTGACAGTTAGAACAATTAACCAGTGGAACAACCTGCCTCCAGAAGTTGTGAATGCTCCAACACTGGAAGTTTTTAAGAAGAGACTGGACAGCCATTTGTCCGAAATGGTATAGGGTTTCCTGCCTGAGCAGGGGGTTGGACTAGATGACCTCCAAGGTCCC